AGGACCGCGAATCTGGCAAGCGCTCCTGGAAAAGAAGTGAGAGACACACACATATATATATATGCATACTATAATAGAGAATTTTCAAGAATCTGAAGTTGGTACGAGACGTTGCGACTTGTGATGGGTTCTGTGTCAGTTCTGGGAACGCGGCTCCGTCTTTGCACAACCTGTTGGTCCAGAGCTTCGGAGCCCTCGGGGTTGGGTGGTCATGGGTGAGCCAAGGCATGGGTCTTTGCTTCAACATCTTCATTCTGAGCCACCTGGGCTGGGAGGCAAGCTCGGGGTTCATGCTTCTTGAACGCATGAAGTGTGTTTTTGTTTTAGCGGGAGGCGCCGTCGGAAGAATTAAAGCAACACTGCAAAACAGTGACAATAAGTAGATTCGGACATGGCTGTGCTCGCACCGGACGTCCGGTGTTAGATGCATGTGGCCTCTACGTAGTTCATGGAACCATGAGATGGCAGTGGCTTAGCTTGGGGCAGTGGGAATGCGGCCCGGCGGGATCCAAGAATGCAGTGCCTGCAGCTGCTCAAAACCTCATCGTGCGACTAAGGCAAGGCTTCGTTTTGGAGTACATGCTGAGTGCCCCAGCTGAAGCTCCCAGCTTCTGGGGGCGGGGCTTCTAGGGCTCAGCACGCGCATCATGAATTATATCACTACATCAAGCTGACAGTGGGGTGGCGTTCAGCTGCCCACAGCATAACCGGCCCCTTCTCTGGCGTAACTACCGCATTTGGCGACACAAACAGGTCCATGTCAGATTCATTAGTTTTGCAACAGATGCACGGGATGCATCCCTGGCAAAAGGTTTGCTTTTCACCATCATCCACTGCGTCCACACACACATGTCCAAACCATCACTAATGGCAGAAGACATCCGAAATCGTGTGCCACCCAGAAGCCTGAAGAAGCCTGAAGCCATCAAGACCAACGCAAAATACATGTATATAAATACTGCAAATGTCTTGGCGCATCAAGAGTAGGAAGCAGTTCTAGGGATGCTTGGGGAGCAGCCCAACGCTCGATTGATTGCTGATGTTTTGAGATTTCATCATGGCTGATGATTTGAGGTCACGCTTTATGTGTTGAGTGCCACTCCACTGGCTGTCTTTAAACAATGGTTGGTGTGGCCCACTATGCACCCTAAACACTTGAGATTGTTTGTTCCTTGCACAGCGGTTAATGAGGAAGTTGGAGATAGTCGGTGTATAGCATGCTTCAGGGATGTTCAGGTTACATGACGTTTAGGTCTAGGTATGTATCAGGGTCCTGAAAACCCATGTCGGCAGATAGGTCCACGACGATCTGTGATGCGTGTATGGATTGATTGATTCGTCACATGAACGGGTGCAGTGCAGTGCTTCAGGGGGGGTCCGTATACTTCAATTGAACCCTCCCAAGCTTTCCACTACATAATTTTGAACCCTTGGCAAACCGCTGCATCGACCAGTGCGTGTTGCTGGCGCTTCCCCCACAGCTGATCCGGTCGTAGCTGAGGCTTCGACAATTTATTCGTTTTCCATTTGATTTTTGCCTACTACTGTACTCCAGAGGAACCTCGGCTGCAGCGTGCGCAGGCGTGTGACCCCCAGGTATACCTCACAAAGTGCCTAAAATGTGGTCAATATTGATTCGGTGGACCCCGTATGATTGTTACCTGGCGTATGTGCCACAATATGTGCGCAGTACTGTCAATATTCTTGTGCGTCACACCTGGGAATTAGCAAGGCACAAACAACATCCCAGGTCTACCACAAAAATCAACAACATGTTTAATTTGGCAGGTTTTGCATCACACAGTAGAAGAGACGAAGGAGATCTTAAATTGGATCTTGAGATCTGAAAAAGAAAGACCGTGCAGGTTTTTGGAGTTTAACGATGTTCAAGCAAATTCTTCACAATACAGTCATTATAGTTCCAAAAGAAACAATGTATCGTGCAATAATGCGGCAATATTCCTGGCACCCCCGGGGTATGGCTCTTGGGTAAAGCACGGAATGTCATGGGCAGCTGCGGGGGGTCGAGTCTTGAGCTTCCATAGACGCTCAAATCGAGTCAATCGCTCCCCACCTGCCGAGTGAGGATTGTTAGAGATTTTATCAGAGATGCCCGCTCCTCCTTCTCATCCTCATCCTCCTCGGCGGTCCTCCTCAATCGTGATTGCTAGATCACAGTGCGAGCGCTAGATCACAGTGGGCACCACCGGACCTCAACCGCGAGCGCTAGATCGGAGTGGGTACCACCGGACCTGAATTGCGAGCGCCAGATAGCAATGGGCACCACCGTTTATGAACCAGATAGAATTACATAGAATACCAGAAAGAATGTCAGCAGTTATGGTAATTCTGCGGGATAGAATCCAGATGTTATGCATCATAGAATGCCAGAACAATTGGGCCTGCCTTGGGAAACTGTTTCACGGTGGGGTGACTTAGTGAAACATTTCTCCAAACAGCTTACTGTTAGGGGCTCTCAAATCTTTCTTAAGATGTGTCCGCCCTTTCTGTCACTGCTGGTGTCCGCCCTGTTCCGCTGGCCATGCAGCATTTCTATTCTTAATTATTTCTTAATAAGATGTGTCCGCCCTTTCTGTCACTGCTGGTGTCCGCCCTTTTCCGCTGGCCATGCACCATTTCTATTCATTTGTCTCCCAGGTGACTTCTTTACTTTGGTCTCCCAGGTTCGGTGCCTGCTCTGCTGGTGTCCGCCCCTTTCGGCTGGCCATGCGGCATGTTGTATTCATTTGTCTCCCACGTGATTTCTGTACTTTGTCTCCCAGGTTCGGTGCCTGCACTACTGGTGTCCGCCCTTTTCCGCTGGCCATGCAGCATATCTATTCATTTGTCTCCCAGGTTCGGTGACTGCACTGCTGGTGTCCGCCCTGTTCCGCTGGCCAAGCAGCATTTTGTATTCATTTGTCTCCCAGGTGATTTCTTTACTTTTGTCTCGCAGGTTCGGTGCCTGCACTGCTGGTGTCCGCCCTTTTCCGCTGGCCATGCAGCATTTCTATTCATTTGTCTTTGAGGTGGTTTCTTTACTTTTGTCAGGTATAGATACTAGTTGAGAACTCTTTGCTTTTGCTATCCAGCATGTGCCGGTATTGCGCAGGAGCTACGATTCTGGAATTAGTTTGGATGACTTTGAGTGCCTCCGACGCTAGCCTTGCCCTTTTTTTGCATTCGTCTCCATGGCGGATGCGCTGACTGGAGCTGCAGGATTGAGGGACTGCGCAGTGGCGAAAGATGACAATGTTAATGCTTTCAGTTTCATTAATTTTTGCATTGTTTCTAATTAGCCGCTTGATGACAATCAAAGTTCAGAAGCAGAATGCAATTGGATCGAATTTGCAGGTGTTTAAAAAGCAGACCGGTCCAATATAGGTTTGCGGCTCAAAGTGTGGCACGGCAGTGTCTACGAATTTGAATCTGTGGGTTCATGGGTGTGTAGGCACGAACTTGTGGTTGACCAGCCGCAAACAGAGTCGTCCAATTTACAGAAGAAATGCAAGAGCCGCTCAATACCAGTTCTTGATGTAGATCTAGATCAGCCAGTGAGTTTGTTGATACTTGCGAAAAGAAAGGCAAATCATTGGACCGGTATAACAAGTACAAATGTGCAAAGAGGATCAGGGAAGCTCGCAGTCCGGGAGCCTCATCAGTCAACATCCGTTTTGAGCACTATCAAGAATTCATGGTGCTCACGGACAAGGACCATACACCGGGTGCAATTCCGGAGTTGCAGCAGGAAATGCCCGACCATATTGTCGAGGCTTCGGTCTTGGGTGAGGCCGAGGCTTTTTCAGCTTTGCCCATTGAAAACGTGCCGTCCAACAACTTGAAGCCAGAGTCAGTTGCTGCAATGGGGGCTGAGATTGCAACGCAAACAGCGGAGGGCGTGATGGATCATCTTTCACTTGGTGCCATGGAAGCAAAGTCCACATGCAGAGACACTGCAGCTCAGACTCAGCAAGTAGTGCTGGAGGAAGAGTTGGCTGACCTCACACACGAAACTTATTTCCTGAGAGAAAATTCAAGACGGAATCGTATGTCCTACAATCCTGTGGGCGGGGAACCCAAGCCACGGCAGCCAGCATAGCAGGCCTCTAACACTTGGTGGTCTGGAAGATAAGTCTAGATGCAGAAACATTGCGGTTCAGACTCAGCCGACAGTGCTTGAGAATGGGCTGGCTGACCTCACACACGAGAACCTATTTTCGTAGATAAATTCTCAGACGGAATCCCACTTCGTACGATCCTCTGTGTTAGAAAATCAAAGCAGGGTTCCAAGAGACGGCAAGTGTTGATTCCAGGGCCTTGTAGGCGCTGGAGTAGGTGCTTTGTGTACGCTTGCTCTCCTGCCTCTGCTGGTTGACTGCTTTGAGTGGCGCTTGAGCCCAGTCATTGACTTTCTCGTGTGATGCTCTTGTTCCTGTGAACATGCAAACAAACCAAAACAACTTTTCCTCACTCAGAACGTTGATCGCAAGTGAGGCGCCACCATGCAAACTAGTGTTTCGCTGAATGAACTGGGTACTCACTCAGCTGCCATGGGCCAATGGAGCGAGTGCATTCACTGCCCACGAGTTCATGAATTTCCTGTACAGAATGGGGAGCCTGGGGTGCAGGAAAGCCAAATTTTTTATACATTGTTTGTGCTCGATAAAATGAAATTTGTTTATCCCGGGCCATTTTCAGAGCCATGTTAGGTTTTTGAATAATGTTTGGCCTTGCTTGGGTGAACCATTCTATAGATGATTTTTGTTGTCCTCCAAGAGCATGCAAATTTTCGCAGGTCCCCATTGTATAGAGGATTCATTTTTCGGACCTGAGGCGGCAGACATTCGGGAAATGTCAGAATCTGGAATCGGTTCGGAATGTACAAAGATTTTGGCAATGTAGAGAAAATGGGAAAGAGGTATTGTTTTTTCAACAAAGCCAGTAAAAGCAATGATGCACGCCACGCCACTCAATACTTTCAGGTAGGGCCGTGGGGCCATGTTCTGCCCAGTCCTCTCGGTCTGCTTGGCTGCGACTTCTCACCGCCCAGGTCTTTTTCGGAACTTCACGTCGTCCTTTTCCATCGACATTTCCTTGATCTCCTCATTCCACCGGACGCCATTGTTGAACATCACATAAAGCAATATAGACTATAGAACAAAATATGCAAACTTGTTGTTCTCTTTTCAGAGCACGTTTATCCCCTTAATCTCTATAAAATGGAGGGCATTGCTTGGATTTGCTAAGTCTATATATAAAATGGTTGTGCACAGCTCTACTTACATGGTCCTAGAATGTCCTAGACCATGTTATTCAAAGCTGTAATGCCTACAAGATATTGTAGGGGAGTTTAGGATAGTTTAGAGTGTTCTAGGGGTATTTTGGGGAAAATCATGTTTGGAAAGATACGAGCAATTTGGATCATCAAGGAACATCCATGGAAGTTCCTTTTCAAAGACATACATTTGTGTGCAGCCCTCATGGAGCCTATTTTTTAGAGGGTGTGTTGAGGAAATTTGAGGGATCTCCACTTTATAGAGATTTACACAGCGGCATACAGAGACACTATTCGATTGTTTTGGAATTCCTTAGGTCCTTTTTTAAACATAAACTCTTAAAGTAGAAAACAGCTTGTCTTTTCAGAGTATGTTTGTCCCGTCAAATCTCTATAAACTGGCGAGCTTCTCTTGGATTTGCTATTTGCAGTCTATAAAATGGGTGTACACAGCTCTACTTACATGGTCCTAGAACTCTAGAATGTCCTAGAACATTTTATCCAAAGCTGTATATAATCCGGACAGGATCTTCTAGGGATTTCTTGGGGAGTCTAGGATTGTTTAGGGGGTATCTGGCATCTGGGAACATCTCAAAGATAGGAACGATTTTGGAGAATCAAGGGAAATCCATGGAAGTCCAATTTCAATACATATAGCAGTATGCTCCAGTAAAAGCGAGGAAGTTGGTGGATCAATTACGTACTTCTAAGTTCTGGAGAGAATAGCTCTTGGCCGGTGTGCAATCCTGTCGGAACCTTTCTCTTGCAGGTGGGGCAACAACCCTGGCTGGCCAGCAGCTTTGCACTTGCTGGCGGCCAGGGAAACGGGAGTGTGCTATTATGGAGCGGAGAAACCACGAAACAGCAAGGTGGTCCGGTGGCTGCTAAACGCAGCCCCGACCAAGACCTCAGCGTTTTCAAGGCTACAACTCCTCCTCACTCCCTCCAAGCACACTCCCATGCCGCCGAACATGCGCTGCACCTTTGCCGCCACGGTGTTGAATGCGTGCAGCATTGATGCCAGCGACGGTCAATCCGAAGTATCCTTGGACTACGCTGTGACTTAGCTCAAGCATTACGAAATACGTGGTATGGTGCATGATTGTTATCAGCTACTCTTGGTGTCCGGTTTTTTCCCCTAGCTGCAAGCTATTTGTAAGCGTCCGAACTTCTCAATGGCGTGGCTCTGGATTGGCGTTTCGTGCCAGGGACAATATCCGCTGATATTGCGCCTCACAAATTGATGCATGTAAGTATTGCCTTGTGGTCTGCATTTTTTCCTTTGTGGCTGACATGGCGTCATGCCAGGGACGACATCGTATCATGTGTAGAAGAGAGAGAGAGAGAGAGAGAGAGAGAGGGCCTCAAGACTCAGCCAAACTAAGCGCTTAGGAGCCCAAACCCTTAGCCCTCATGGGGAAATGTGTTGAGGACATTTGGGGATTTTGTGGGTCCTTCTTCAAATACACTCTTAAGGTGGAAAACAAGTTGTTCTATTTTGTTCCAGAGGTTAAACCTCTATAAAATGGCGCCCTTCAAAAGCTAAGGGCCATTGATTTTTCTCGGTGGAAAATTTGCAGAAATGATCAAGTCACTTGCCTGGGTGAACCATTCTATAGACGTTTTTTAGAGGGCCTTGTAGAAATAAACCATTGTCAAAATCTAATGGTGGGGGTCCACCATTCTATATGTACATGTGCTTTTGTGGCGTGTGCCCTGGTGAATGCGTTTTATAGAGGGCGCGCCCCCCTGAAAAATTGAAAACACAAATTATAGCTACAGAATGGGGACCCCCAGGGTTGAGGTTGAATTCCAAGGAGGATTAGTTGAGTAGAAAATGTTACAAGATGTTGCATCTCTTGCAATGTCCACTAGGTAGGGCTGATTCCCTCTGGCCAGTTAGCGTTTGCGTGTGGTAGTATGTGGTATTTCTGGACGCTTGTTTGCATTTTTTTTGGTCTGTCAGAAGTCTGATGACCTTTGTATCATTTTGCCAGTTTGTGTGTGTGTGTGAGCCCGTGCGCCCATTGTATGACTGATGTGGGTGCTACAATGAAAGCGCGGGTGGCTGGAGGAAAGCAGAGTTTAGAAAGGATTCCACAGATATACAGAACACTCAAAGTGGAGTGAAAGAAAAGGCGCGAGAGGTTGTGAGAGTTGCTTCCGTTTAGATGTCACAGTCATGTCCGATTTGTTGTGTTTCTGCGTGGTTTTGTCCTCCTTGGAATTCAGCCTCTATAAAACGGGTCCCTTCCAAGGCTAAACACATTGATTTTGCTTGATACAAATTTGGCAAAACTCGTGACTTTACCCTGGTGAAGCATTCTATAGACTGTTGTTTTGATGCCCTGTAGAAATAGACAATTGTCAAAACCTACCCTGGGGGTCACCATTCTATATACATGTGTTTTTGCGGCGTGTGCCCTGGTGAATTCATTTTATAGAGGGTGCGCCCCTCTGAAAAATTGAAAAACACAAATTATAGCATATTATAGCTATAGAATGGGGACCCCAGGGTTGAGGTTGAATTCGAAGCAGGATCCTATGTTTGGAATGGCGAGCGTCAAGTCAGCCAAGTGTTTCGATGTGTGCCGACTTCTGCGCGCGACAGCTCACTGTATGCGGTGGGAGAGGTGCGGAATGACAAGAGAAAACCAAATAGCCTCCAGAACAGCAAGAAGATTTTTCTTGACAAAAAGCTCTTCAACATGAGCAAAGTCAGTCTGAAGTCAGAGGTGCAAAAGAAATACGAGCACTCCCCGTTCTTTGGATGAGCCAGCAAGTTAACACGAATCTGTTATGAACAGCTTGTTGGACAAAGATGTGCTCATCTTGCAGCGCGCAAAGCACGACTATGCCACTTGACCCATAGGTTGAAACTCGTGGTGGGCTTGACGAAGACGAAGTTTGCCAGAAATGTTTCCAGTAAAAGTGCCCTTGTATATGCCATGTATGCAAGATGAACACTTTCTTGGTATTTCTTGGAGGTGACTCGGCCATGCTGGGGATCACTCGATGTAAAGTATTTTGGCCTGGGGGCCCGCGAGGAGTGACACTCTACGGATCACTGGGGGAAAGACGGCCTGCTCCGGCGATTTTGCGGGTCACGTCCCTTTGGAACGCGAAGCTTGTTAGATCCCAAACAGTCCAGGGGACTGGCATATTTGATGTAGGTATGTAGGTATATATTCCTATCCCATGGATGGGGTCTGGTCACATGGTCCTGATGCCCACAGGTGGATAGACGTTGGATTTCTTGATAGTTTTGGTCAAGTGATAGTGTGAAGATCCTGGTTCCATGCGCTCGGAACCAAAGGCTGTCGGGCAGTCGGAATAGTGCATGATGAGCTTCAAAATTTCCCAGCTGGGAGTCGGAAATTCTGGGTTGATCACGGCTGATCACGTTGAGTTTCCCACTGTTGAGACGTCGGATGCGTTTCTTTTCCCATTGCCAACGAGGTCTAAAGGAGCCTTCCCAACCGACGATTTCAGCGTCCAAGATCGGCACAGTTGAGATTAGTTTTGGTGATGCATCGCAATCAATAATGCATCAGCACCCGGTCATATTACAGTGTATGGGGATGGGTCAAAACCCGAAACACCTAATCCCCGTTATGTTGACCTTCCAGGTTAGTCAACCAAGGTCTCTTGGTTCCGACCCACAACCATAAAATCCAAATCAATCACTGAATTTTGCAAATGTTCAGCTGAAGGCACTGGTTTATCGTGCTCTCTACTTCGGCATTGTGGGGGCAATCGCCTTCCGCGACACAGTCGCAAGGGAGCACGCGCGCGTGACAACTGGTGGTAGTGCTGCCCTTCCAAATCCAAGACATCCCAAACCCATGCTACATGGGAGTTCTCCTCCCCTCACTTATGACTGTTCTGTCCAGCCTGGGTCATGAACGATTGCATGATTTTTAACTCCTGGCCACAAGCCACACAAACAGGCATTCTAATGTGTATTTCAGGTCCTTAAAGATGGAAGTGAATAGTTCGCCCCTGACCAGCTGCATTCATGGCCGGATCCATGTACGGATGTGCATCTACAAACATGTTTTGGCGCACAACAGTTCCAAGAAAGTACTCGCGCAGTTGTCCCAACCCGAGTTGGTCTGATTATTTAGGTTTAACATGGTTTAATGGCTTATATAATTGCTTTTCGGTAGACCCCCCAGAACCGCGGAATGTCGTCACCAGTTTGGACTTTGTAGTTTTTTAGCCTGCGACCACTTACGAAAAGTGTTCCAAGCACAGAAAGAAGATCGGTCACTCAGCGTGAGGTGTTCTTCTGATTACATTGGGTTACTCTCTGGTGAATACCGGGGTTTTTTTGGTCAAGTTCGGCTTCGGCGCTTTGCTCATCTACAGCGGCTGGAAGATGCTTGGCATGGATGCGTGCTGTGTTGCTCCAACCTCATCGAAACTCAGTCTACACGTGCCAATGGGGGTACGAGACTCAGCCACACCAGAGTCATTTGTGGTGATTGAGCAGCCGCAAAGATGACGCCGGTGATTAAAGAACCAGTGTGGCTTGCATTATGTGGATACGATGTTGGAACCCAGGCACTTTCAATGCTGTAGATTGTAGCCGTTGCTTGTTGATGCCATCATGTGATTGGCAGCTGAAAGTGATAAGTTCATGGTGCATTGAGCTAGTTGGAGGCTCACAAAGAAGGTCCATACCAAGTGCGGGTGTCAAGCCTCATGGTAGTTTTGTTTCGTTCATGACGACGTGAAAACATGCGTGGCTGAAGCCTGGAGAAATTCTCTTGAAATTGCGGACGAAAGTGTAGATGTGCACAAACATATAGAGATGAGTAGAGATGAGATGAGATACGATACGATACCATACGATACCATACGATACCATACGATACCATACAATACCATACATACATACATACATGTGTGTGTGTGTTTGTGCAAATGCAGTCTCCCTTGGAACCACTTTAGCCGCTGCATGTTCATGCATGTTCAGTTTTGAATCGCATTGCGCTGAGTATATTATGTATATTTCACATATTATTGTTTAGTTCTTGTGCCTCGGGGGGGAGGCATGGGTTTTCCTTGGGCACCATGTCCAACCCAACGTCCTGATTGTACAGGAAGTGAGGGCTGATCACTCGCACACACAAGGTGTTCCGTTGTTACAGGTCGGTTTCAGGTCGTATTACTCAGGAGCCTAAAGGCCTTCAAAGTGACTTCTTGAAAAATGTTGTCGGCTAGTGACCAGTGCGGCACCGCATTCGACTAGTGGCTAGTGCGACTACTACTATGCACGTTGATGGATTTGATGCGCTTGAGACATCTCGGTTAAAACTACACTTTAGGAGCCTACCACATGTTTCCAAATAAGCTGTAATTCACTCTACAACATATTTGGTCACACATGTTCATTCAAGATCTGAGTCCTATATACATGCACGGACTTCATTTCTTCCTGAGAATGATTCCATTTTGGGGTCATGATGCATTCGCGGAACCAGAGGGCGGTTGCACGCTGTGGATGTTCCCAAACCTGTGAGGACAGCAGCGGATGAAGAGGAAGACCAAGATCCCAGTAAAAATCAGTTTATCGCGATGGTGACCAAAGTCTTGCCAATCAGTACCTTAGCTGATTGAGAGACGGCAGTGAGTGAGTTGAGATTGACGTGGGAATGAAGCCGCGACTGATGCAGAAGAAGTTTGAGTGACTCGAGCCTACGTCAAATCTCCCCGCCGATGTGCAAGAGGAAAACGTCCATTTCCGTCCAAAACCTGGTGCTGCTAGAGAGCCCAAGGTTTCTGGGTATGTTTGCCAACTCCGATTCAGAAATCAGTGCAGACTGGCCATGCTGCAGTTGCACGTAGAAATTATTTACACAAAAAAGAAATTTGTTGGCGACCATAGACACAAATGTTGGAGGCGCTGTGAAACTTGAAGCATGTTCAAGCAGTTTTGCAATTCTTTCCCATGCCACACGGCCCCCAGAAATCTGTCATTCGGACAGAACGGGGTTGATGAAGGCAAACTCTTCGTTCCTAACGCCAACACCACTGGCCATGCGCTACCCGAGCAATCTCCAACCCCACTGGCACAACCCAAACCATGTATGGCATATATGCAACCCAAATGTACGTAGATATGCCATATACCGAGGTTTTTGGGCAAGGGCAAGAAGATACACCCAGGAAGATTTACATGTATCCTGAACATGGACCTTTCGAAGACGATTTTCCTCTACAACCCAGTGGTTTTCAGGTTCCAAGTGGGTCTTTTCCCGGGAAGGTTGGCCAAAACACCTGCGGGTGATTGGCTGCCAACGCCGGTTTTGGCACATCGCGTTCGCATCGCGCCACGAGGTGACCACTACGAGCCCGGAGGTAATTTCTTCCTCGACGAGGAGCGGAGTGGAACCGACGGTTGTGATAAAGAGAGCCTCAAAGGGGAAGTATATATATAACTATATATATGATATGACTACAGTAGGTAATATACATATAGAACTATATGATTATATATATAGGTGCAGAAATCAAATTCAATCAGGGCCATGGTTACTTCATTGATTGTCTTAATGATGATGTTGTTTGGCGCTTGTGTTTAAACTGAATTTGGCTTGCTGAGTCCCTAGCGGATCCAGTCGCCTTGGCGCTTCCTGCTCCCTGCCTTACCGCACATTGCCATTGGCATCACCACTCGAGGTCCCGTCTTTGTCACCACATTGTCACATGGTCATCATCTATCTATCATTGTTATATATATATATATTAGATGTTCATCGAGCAACCATTTAAGAGCAAGGGTCAAAACCTGTGGAGTCATGAGATGAAAGAGTTGCGTGATGTTTGGTTCCTTCGCGTGCACCTTGCTCACTGGGTCGCAGAAGCTCGCGTAAGCCATTCGATAACACATGTTGCAAAGTCTGAACTCATTCTTGCAATAGTTGAAAAAATATTGGAGAAGACCCGCGCGTATGTCGAAGTGTTTTCCACTTCCCATTGTACTGTAAGCTCACACCTGAGGCACATCGGCGTTGCGTATTCAAATGGTTCACAATGCGAGGTTGACCGCACCTCCGAATCCCGGGAGGACACCAAGCCACGGGAAGAAGATTTTTGGCGCCTGGGGTAGAACATGCTACAAAAACTGGTGAAGACTGGTGAAGATAAAAACACATGGTGCAATGGTGCACGCTGTTTTTGAAGCATGCCAGCCATGTCCCCATGTGATGGCCATGTCCCCATGTGATGGTCATGCCTTCTGATCGATCCTTGTTAGGCCTCTTTCTGGATCCTCAAGGCTGTTACGCTTTTGGAGGGCTGACATGCTTTAAAAACCATCTTGAAACCCAAAGAACTTCTCCGCCGTGTGTTGATCTCGCAGGAGCGGGACCAGCGGGACGATGTGGAGCTCTTCGATCGCGCGCGGCAGATCGATGCACGAGACCGAAGAGAGTCCTTGGATGGTCTGTGGCTGGGATTGATTTTCATGGCTGGGACTGGGGGATGATTTCAAGTGTCACAGGATGATTGGATGATTGGGGTTGGAAACCGGTGATCTGCACACAGGATGTTAGGCTGGGATGATATTTTCGATGCTCTGTGGGCCCATGTTGGTCCCCAAATCATCAAACATTGCTTGGTCATTGGCTTCAGCTGGAGGGTCAACCATTTCAATCTCGGTGTTGCTTGGGAACACATGGAGAGGGGGATCGCGCGTGTTGGGTCCCTTGAAGCTTGTGTCCCCCCCAAAAGTGTTCAGCTTGTGGGAGCCTCCAGGAGTCATTGGAGGACTAGTGACTAGCGACAATATGTGAAAATGGTTTCAAAATGTATATAGCATTAGGTAGCTGCTGATGATGAAGCAAGCACAAGGACGAACCCACATAAGTCCATGGAATCAGATAAATTCCACATAAGTTCTCTAATTGACATGAACCTCTTGGACGGCCAACCACTTGCGTCATGATCAACCATGCCGGCCCGTCCAACCCAGATTGAGCACGCAGTCCATCGACTCAGCCGCCTGGGCATCCAAGTCAGTGCAGTCCTCGTGGAGAGGCACGAGTGGATGGTTTGGGGTCCTACTAACCCCAAACGCATCCCTATGATTCCCTACAGTGGTCCCCAAACAGATAGAAAACTACTGTAGATCCCCACTACAAATGGGGTGGAAACCGTTGGACCCCTTGGATTGGATAATGAAGACTCAGTTATAGACTCTTGATTAAAAAGCCATCCCATTTGGATGCACGCACTCGCGGTCCTTCGCACCCACCAACTGCCCCTTGTTCACTGGTGGAACGGGTACAGGTGGGTAGTAGTCCATGTGTGAAACGTGTGAAAAACTCCTTGCCAAAAGGAAACGACATGGTAATATGTACAAACGAACGAAAACAGCATTGCAAGGCCGGAGTCGGGCAAACTACGTATCACAATTGCATTCAAGCAACCTCTTCATGTGGGGTATTATTGATCAAGAGCCTACATTAACCCCAAACAGTGCGTGCCCCAAACCTATCCCTATAGTTGCCCAGGACAAGTGGATTACCTGCAAGACCTTTTTGGGGTGAACGGAGGGCAGGCGGAACTCATGGTGCGAACAGGTGGAAAGTTTGCTTTGCTTCAACTTGATGTTCAACAGAAACGGCTCGGGAGTTAGCATCCCGGGAATGGCTCGGGAATTTGCTTAGCATTCAGAAGATGTTTGGTTCCTTGGTCCCTTGGGCCTGTCGTCCCCTGGTCTCAGACACCTACATTCTCTCCTCCTCCTCCTCCTCATCATCATCATCATCATACTCATCGTCGTCGTCAGACATCGCAATATCAACATCACACACACGCACATCGTTACACATCACACCTCACACCATCCCACCACGCCATCACCGCGTTTGTCATCGTACTTGATATGGTTCTTCCCATTTCTACGCCCCCTTTGTTGAGCGCCCCAGAGCGCCAATTCCAGCCTTATCAATGTGTTGTTAATGTTTGCCGGTCTCCTATAAAGGTTTCCTGTGATTGCTATAGCATGTTTTACACAGTTGTTGATTCCTGACCCATCCAACGCTGACCCCAAAATCAACCACCCCAACTGATCAGAAATTATGCTATTCCAATGGGATTGTTTGGGAATAAGATCTGGTAACTGGTAATGGAGCAGGCAGAGGTGGCATTGGGAAGAAGAAAGTCTTTCAGATAGACAAAAGGCACGGAAGCACATACCTTTGCCAGTGTAGCAGATGGGTCTTGGATGGTGACATTCAGCTCGGCAAAAGTGGAGACCTTTCCTGTCACCGCCATGGTCAACCTAATCTCCACCTTGAGAACCCCCAAAAACAACAGCAACGGTGGAACAGCGTGCCTCAAAACAAGACGACCAGCTTAAAACGGTGAACCCTCTCGTAGATCATTCGTCCACCTCAACCCGCCCCAGAAAAATGAATTACAAGGAATCAGAACGATCTTCCATCATGTTGACCCATCTCAGGACAACGCTGGGGCCAATCTGCCGCGCTTGGAATCCTTCGAAGGCAGCAGCCTTTTGGAGCCCGGCGGCGCTGTCGTCCCCGCGGGCGCCGCGGGCGGCGCGGACCCCGACCGCGGCGGGACAGCGGCCTTCGTGGCGCGCGGTGTCGACGGCCGTGGCGCGCGGAAGCCGAAGGCATCGCTGCTGCTGTGGCTTGGGCCGGAAGGTGAGTGTCCGATGCTGATTACTGTAAAAGAGGGGAATCAAATGGCCATGATGAGTTGTGTAAATTTGGGATCCTTGGTTGTTTCCTTCCTTTTCTTTGTGTATTGAAGGATGTTTATTATATAGTTCAAGTTAGCCATGGGACAGTCTTGATTCAAGGGGCCGATGGCAAAGTTTTTGGACGTCGCCGGCCAAGAAGAATCGGAATCCTCTCAGAATCCGAACCTTTGTTGGCCAAAAGCACTGGGAAGGTGACGTGAGAAGCTACCAGGAGGTCCATATGTAGTGCTGGGTAATATTGGGTGTGCATTAGAATAGGGTGACCCCCAAAAGACCCCCGTGGAAGACGGAAAGTAGACCACAACCCCAAGGCTGGGGGGGGTGCCCACTCACTGCCTCTCACTGCCTCCGTCGACCGCGTCGACCGGGCTGGTCGAGCGCTCGCGAGGTTGGTGGTGATTGCCTTGTGGATCGTCGACCTGGTCTTTGCCATGGACTCGGTGGCCTCCAAGCTCGCGACGGTGAATGACCTCTACCTCAACGCCGCAAGCTGAGCAAAGCTGAGCAAGGGGAGCGGTATGGAGCGTTGAGGGGAGTTATTTTAGATTTGGAGAGTCTCCTCAGATTTGAGTCAAACCCCAAGTCCGAAGAGTTTTCACTTGTGAGTGTGTGTGTGTGTCTTTTTAACAACCACTAGGAATGCCATCCATTGCCCAACAGAAACAAACCATCATACACCAAAACATACCAATACCCTCCCCAAAATCAAGCCAACAGTTGGCTCCGCACGATCTGTTCCAGGACGTAGATCTGTTCCAGGACGACTTGATGGGACCAGATGGGAATGGAAGGATCAGATCAACGGTTTGGTTTTGGAGGCCACATGCCAAGGCCCAACCGGGAATTCACCCCCTGAAGGTCGTTCACATGGGTTGCTCCTAAACACTTCGTTCTTTCCCTTCAGTTGGTTGGAACGGTTCTTTTCGGGGTCGCCTGGGCTGTTCAGCTCGGCTCCCAAAGGTCGCATCGGCAGCCTTTGCAATGATGGGACTGCGGCTGCTTCGGTGGCACGTTGGGCAACCGGCCGGAAGCGGCAAGCTTCGCTTAGAGTGAACGGTGGCGAGGTGCACAGTGTGGAGGAAGAAGGTGCTGCGTGGTGCTGCAACGGTTTCGGGCAAGTGTGCTCTTCAATATTCAGTTCCTTTGAGATGTGGTTTGTTGGTTCCCCTGGCGTAGGAAGTAAAGGAGGCCAGGTGAGTGGCCTCCCATTGTTTGACAAACCCTGTGCCTAACACCCAACCTGGAGGTGCGAGAGCGTCTTGTTCAGAACAAATTTCCAGCATGAACGATATGGCTTCATTGGCCCCAGGTGCTTTATTGCTTTGGGTGGAATGTTGTGAGTGTAAAGCTGAACGATCCGCGCCATGGGATGTCATTGTCCGGATGTTGAGGCGGCATTCTGAACAGGAAGGACCTTACCTTACGAACGGAAGCGAGGAGGGAATGACCCCCAACCAACAAGGACTTATTGTGGGGATGTCTTTGAACCATTCTGAACTGAACCTATGGTGTAACTCAGCCACGGTATTCCTTTTCCGAGTTGAGCTGCACAGGGTGCCACCATTGTTGTCGGTCGAGTTTGTGCTTATTTGATGCACGGTATGTGTTCTCCACGACTGTCTCTCTTGAGGGATTGCTGCACATGCCTTTGCGAACGGAAGTTGCAAAAGGCACCAAGCAATCAACTATAATTTGATCTCACGAACCCCACATCCATCCACTCTGGCTGGGATACCTCAGCACGGACACCTTCCTGGGCTTGCAGCAGTATGTTGCAGGCTCATCAAAAGTATACATGGTCCATACATGGTCATAGTAGCATAGAGGGTTATCTAGACGAATTGTTGTGTTCCTTTTGCCTTTGCGGAGAAGCTCAGGTCGTTGTACTTTCTGATGGAGTCCTTGGTTCAAAGCTTTCATATGCTGAAATATGGCATCGCAGCTATCCTGGTCCTCATTGGCCGCAAGGATTTGATTGCATCGGGATTTGGGATTCTCGGGCGGGCTGGGGCTGGGATACTGTGAAAGGGTGCTCGTTTTGCAGATCCTACGGCGTTAGGATCTGAGGGAGGACACGAGGTTTCTAAACCTAATTGGTTTGTTCTATGCGGTTTGCACTTCCAATTCCTTAGGCAAAAGGTTCATAGGGTTGCTGAGCTTTGGACAATGTCAACATATGTCAACCAATGGGCCAAAAACACCGGGCCTAGGTCACTCAACGTGGATCTCGCCATGGATTTTGGATTTCCAGCGTTCACAAACAACAAGTGGTCTTCCTGGAAAAAATGTGGGTGTTGTGCTGGAAATCTTCACAAAGCTTTGCCTCAGCTCAGGCCTCAAGATGGTCTTCTCCGTGTGGTTTGAGATTTCCAACAGCCGCCCGGCCCAACAAGACACCGACGATCTTCTTGGCGCATGGCAAGGCTCCGTGGTGCTTTTCCTTCCCAAGCACCGGGTGCTCAAGCGTAAGTGTAAACACCATAACCGCCGACCTGCCCAATCAGCGGACCATCCGTATGACTGGTCAACAGGACTCCACTTCACGACCTCAGGTGACAATCCTATAACACCCGAGAAAGCCAACTGAGGAACCTCAGGTCTGGGTTCCTCTGTCCAAAACAGTTTCTGAAACTGCAAATCATAGCAAAGATGAACATGTCGGCAACCTGCACCCCGGCCAGCATGTGAGACGGTCGTCCCAAGATGTTCGCGAAAATGGTCGTCCTGACTGTGATTGCAGCGGGGAATGTCCTGGTGGTCCAATACCACACGAGAGGTTCTGGGACTTGCTCATATGATCACATATGGCTTTGACCCCTTCCTTTCCACCAAGTAAGCTCACCCAGTTCTGTGTTTGAGGGACGGCCCAGAACCCTCCAGTCCGGCCGATGGCCGGGCACTGAACAGGTGTCACTTTCGTTTTGATTATCGCAATTTGCAACTTGCTTGCAGTGGTGTTGATCATTTGTTGTGGGTGGGCTGAATATGGAAAGACGATTTTCCAGACACTGTATGGCACGTTTACCTACATTAGGGCGGTTTCAAGAATGTAAGAAAATAGTCCATAATTTCCATACATGATTATCATATATTATCAAGTGGTTGATAAGTGCGCGGGTCTTTTCAACCAGCGTTGAGAGGGTCAGTGATCAGCAGTCAAATCCCCTACCTATTCTGCCGCTAGTATTCGGCCAGGGCGGCGGTGCGGCGATTTGGTGGGCGGGCTCTCCGACCACACGGTCAGTCGATCGAAAGACCATGGCGATTCCTGACAAAAGAGCAGTGGCGATTCTCAGATGGAGCTGTTTGGACATCTGCTCCATTCCATCCGTTCCAGAAAAATGGCAGTCGATGGCAATGGATCCGATCGAGCCCGTTTGGACATTTGATTTGATCGGTTAGATCTTCTTGGCAAACCCCAAAAGCCAAGAATGGAAGTGGGCAATCCCTTATTTGAAGAGGAGAGTTCGTCGTCTTCCAAGGGGGCCGTTTTCACTTCCGTCTCCTTTTTTTTTTGCGGCCGGCTTTGTCTATCCGCCGCGAAACTGTCATCGTTTGTTGTTTCTTCTTTTTGACTGGATGTGAATATGATGCACCTTAGGACAAGGGATGTACGTATCAATGGCGCGATGTGATGATTCTGATGGCGTCGTGGGTGCGTACGTTGAACATGCTGGACACTGAAGCGGCATGAAACATCCTGAAACCCCTGCTTTCTTGGGCGTTCAGGGTGGTGGTTTTGGAATGTCTTGGAAACCGGTTCTGTGTTTGGTTTTGTTGTTTTGGTTGTGTTCTGTTGCAGACCCCGCGCAAGAGGGGGGCCGTTTGGGGCCTCTAATTGAAATCATCCCTTGAAGATAAAGAATTATACCGGCATAGACCCCAGATAGCACTTCAAGAAAAGTTGGACACCATGGCAAGAGCGGGAGACAAGCTGGGGAGACATCCCACTCAAAGCCGGGAAAAGGATGGAAAAGGAAAACAAGACCTAAATCATCTCATAACAGCATCCGCGTCAAAGGCAGGCAAGAAAATGACAAGGCGGCAGCGGCAGCCAAGAGCGAAATCATGAAGGGAGACAAGCCTGGGAGACAAGCCGGCAACGGCAGCGGCAGCCAAAAGCGAAATCATGAAGGGAGACAAGCTTGGGAGACAAGGCGGCAGCGGCAGCCAAGAGCGAAATCAGGAGGGGAGACTAGCTTGGGAGACAAGCTGGCAGCGGCAGCCAAGAGCGAAATCATGAAGAGAGACAAGCTTGGGAAACACGGCGGCAGCGGCAGCCAAGAGCGAAGTCGGGAAGGGAGACAAGCTTGAGAGACAAGGCGACAGTGGCAGCCAAAAGCAAAATCATGAAGGGAGACAAGCTTGGGAGACAAGGTGGCAGCGGCAGCCAAGAGCGAAATCATGAAGGGAGACAAGCTTGGGAGACAAGGCGGCAGCGGGAGCCAAGAGCGAAATCATGAAGGGAGACAAGCTTGGGAGACAAGCTTGGGAGACAAGGCGGCAGCGGCAGCCAAGAGCGAAATCAGGAACAGAGACAAGCTTGGGAAACACGGCGGCAGCGGCAGCCAAGAGCTAAGTCATGAAGAGAGACAAGCTTGAGAAACAAGACGGCAGCGGCAGCCAAGAGCGAAATCATGAAGGGAGACAAGCTTGGGAGACAAGCCAGCAGCGGCAGCCAAAAGCGAAGTCATGAAGCCAGACAAGCTGGAGAAACAGGATGGCAGCGGCAGCCAAGAGCGAAGTCATGAAGGCAGACAAGCTTGGGAGACAAGCCGGCAGCGGCAGCCAAAAGCGATGTCATGAAGGGAGACAAGCTGGAGAAACAAGATGGCAGCGGCAGCCAATTTCCGCAATCCGAAACCCATCCATTCAGAAGTAAGAACCCTTATAGCTTCCAGCTATCTGGGGAAAAAGACACTTGCGGTGATGCCCAGGAGGTCGCTCATATATGCTACCAACACAAACAAGCACGATGCAGTCAGACATTTGCTGCGTGAGTTGGCATGACACAACGACAGCTGAAAAGGCTTTACTGTGAAAAAAGTTAGTACTGTATATTTTGTAAAGATATATATATACCGTATATCTGTGTGTGTTGTATGTCTGTATAACTAGGCCGTATGTTTAAAGCAACAAAAGTGTGCGCCGGCGCTCCAAAAGCACTGGCAACTACATGTGTTTCCAACCACCAAACAACCTCTGAAGTTCACACATGTAAAACCACTGAAACCTTCAACCTGACGGTCCTTCAGCCCAATGTGCTTTTACAGAAATACCCGCAGCAGACACCCGTGTTTTTGGGAGTGTGGAAATGATCCCGCAAGTCTAAGCACCAACAGTTGGTTTCCTGCCTCCAACGGGATGTGAGTCACACGTGCCTCGCCACTCATACAAAACACAGGTATCGCCAGCGCCGTGTCCTCTTACTGGTTGCCTTCAGTACGCCAAAGCTGCACGGCCCTTGTGGCGGAGGAACCGTACCGGCCTTTATAGTGGAGAGGGGAATCCTCAGATTCTTCGAGTCAGATAGCCGGTGGAGGAGGTGTCCCTATTGTTCCCTATTGTTTGCTCGAGACGTGCAGTGAAATCCCAGTTGTTTGCCTCCTCTCCCCAGCAGGGATGGATTTAGTGTTCAGTCCATGTGGGTGGCTAGAACTTGCCCACCCTTCGGGTCAAAGTGGCAGAATGTTAAACATGTGGAAGAAAATTCAATAAGGACTCCTTGGTACATTTAGGCAAGCCTATGGCAATAGATTCGCATAGACTTCCATGATTGTTGGAGGGTAATTGTCCACCTATGGAAAAAGATGCCAATGATTAAATCCCAGGAATGCATCACATGTTGCTCAGAATTCATTCATAGACATTGCTGTTCATCGAAGATTTCAAGACATGAATAGATCAAATAGCTCTAGAACTACTATATAATCATGAACAGATGGAATAGATTTCACTATATAATCATGCGATATCATGCGAACATGACCCACTCAGTTCTATCCCTTTCGCAGAGCTGCAGGAGGACAACCTCGAGACCCTGCCGGAGGGTGATGGCCGAGAGGGCCGGACCAGCTTTGAGGAGGTGGTGCCTTTGCCGGAGAAAGCGACGAACTCGGCCCATCCGAAAGAGACGAGCTCGGCCTGTGTGCCCCGCCCTATTCCTCCCTTCGTTTGCATCAACTCGAGCCCAAGGAATTGTAAGTTCCCTCAAAACTTACTCCCCAAAAGTCACAAGCAGAAGCACATTCCTCAAGCATACCTGGCACGCCAAGCGTGTTGGCCACATGTGTTTGTTCTCGGTGCGGTCGCTCGGGCGCTTCAGCGACGTGCTTCAGGAAGAGTTGGAGCCCATGACACCATCCAGGCCGAACAGTTGGCCGATGTTGGCCGTCCCAAATCGCCCGGGTGCAGAGAGACACCCGGTCTCAACGAAAGACAAGATGGAGATTGAATGTATGATATGTATGTAGGTGTGAAAGCCTAAGAGTATTAGGAGTAAGGTATATATTACAATATGAAAGCCTCCAAACCTCTTCCAAAATGCAGATTCGAGCGGTGCAAACGATCGACGGCCCGTGGTCTGCAGACCTGTCCAGTTAGAGGAGGTAGTTACAGAACGTCACACCTGTTAACATGCTGGTACACACGGGTGGTCAATCCGTGCTTCCCACTCCAAGGCATAGCTTCGTTGCACTAGCACCCCCTTTTCGATCCTGTTTGTGTTTCATGTTTAAGTAGGACCAAAAATCAAGTAGGATTGGGATCATTCAATCCTGCCTTCAAAACTTCAATCATGATGCAGGTCTTTGACTTTCTCATCCAATTTCGTGTTTTCAGGGCAGGTGTGAAACCGGCCCGTCAGGGGGCCGACCATCAAAGTATTCAAACGATACTGATACGATTACTTTTTGAATACCCGCGTTGACTCCTTGCCCCGAGGGGACAGTTGATCTCATGAAAGTTGACCTCATGATGCCCTGCATGGCACGTGTCCTCGGAGGCCGGTGGCGATGCCGGTCAAATTCGACGACCCTTGAGGGCAGCGAGGCCGCGGATGAAGCAGCGGGTAGCGTATGGGGGACGCACAAGGCCAAGCGCGAAATGGAAAGGTGCACATAGGTGCACAAACTCAATCAAACAGTTTTACCACAGGGTTTGGAAGAAGCAGTAGCACTAAGCATAAGTAGTAGGAGTAGTAGCTGTTGTTATAGTTGTAGTAGTAGTGCTAGTAGTGGTATTTGTAGCAGTATTTGTTGTTGTTGTTGTTGTTGCCGCTGCTGCTGTTGTATGTGTTGTTGTTGCTGCTGCTGCTGCTGTTAAGTAGGCAAGGGTTATGCTTTGTCAGTTTAGGGGGTGGGTGCTCTATTTTATTTGAGGGAGTGAGCTGCGATGTTAGTATTGTTTTGTCCGTGTTTGTTGCTATTTAATGGCCTTCGGCCAGGTCCGCCGCCCCAGGGGGGCTTTGGGCTGCAAGAACCTAGCGGTGAGTAGCAGGATTGATATGGACAAGGTCCGGCATAGGATAAGTTTAAGATAACCGTGTTTGTCGCCGATTGATTACTCGTTGTGTTTCATGCAGCAGAATCCTTTCGCAGATCGCGAGGTCCAGGGGTGAGGAGGTGGAAAGGTGATGGAAGGCCGTGAGGTACACACAACTGTCCACAACACACGTATTGCCTTGGCATGAGAGTTGGTCAGATCGCGGCTGATGCAGCACAACCTTGCGGAAAGCATTTGCTTGGAAGGGGGGGAGGGGGGGTGAAGTCAGCGAAACGAAAAATCCGCGCCAAGGAACGTTCCAATCAAGCTCAACACCTTGACAAGAAATCATTACAAGCAACCTTCCACGACACGCCTCGCCTCTGCGCGTGACAGAGGGTCGGCGGATTTTGTGTGCGTGTCCTTGTTTTTTGTCGTGTTGTTTTTTCCGTTTTTTGGCTTTGTGTCGTTATTTGGCTTTCATGGCCTGTGGGCCCAGCCTTGGACAGGTCCAAGTTGGAAGTGAGTTTAGCATTCTATATTTGAGCGCTGCTGAACGGCTTTCAGGTCTAAACTTCGTTGTGTGCAATGGCTGGTCACGTTTGGGACTTGGACGATTTTGTTTGCCAAGCGGTGCTGTTTGCAAGTAACCTAGCTGGAGCCAACCATCCAGCAACTCAAATCCAAGCAAACCGGCAAGCAAGCCACTCGCAAGCAGCAAAAGGGAAGGAAGCAAGCAAGAAAGCATGAACAAAGTGTGAACGAGCAAAGGAATGCAGCGAGGAAGAACAATGGAATACAGCAGAAAGCCAGCCAGCCAGACCAGAAACGAAGGAAGGAAGGAAGGAAAGGAAGGAAGGATACGGAAAGCCCTTGAGGAGCTGCGCCCCCCACCAAAATCCTAGCTTTCAACCAACCAAAGCAAAGCTCAGCCAAGCAAGCAACAGAGCGATCAAGGGAACAACCAAGCCAGCAGCGAGCAAGCAAGCACGCACGCATGCAACAAAGCAACAAAGCAACCAACCAAGCAAGAAAGCAAGCAAGGATGAAAAGACGGCTTCTGATGGATCAGTTCTTGGTTGGATTGTTTGGAAGGGCACTGCGCCCTTCCCCCAACCCGAAACCAGCCAAAGCACAGCGCAAGCAACTAACCTAAATCCCAGCAGACCAGCAAGCTAACAAGTTAGGAAGGAATCGAGCATGGAAACAAGAAAGCATAAACGCAGCAGTGAATAAAAGAGTAAAGGAATCGAGAAACAAAGCAAGAAGCAATGAAGGAGGGAAGCCTGGAAGCAAGGAAGGAATCAAGGATGGAAGGTATTTTCTGAATCACTTCTGGGTTGGTTTGCTTTGGGGGGAGGCACTGCACCCCCAACATGGAACCAACCAAAGCAAAGTGCATCAAGCGAGCTGCAAACACCAGCGGAAGTCCATTAGTGGTTGCCCATACTGCTTTACGTACCAGCATGAGTTTATATTTATATACTGTAGATGTCCTAAGTCCTGTCAATACGTGCAGGGGGTGAACTCAAGGCACCCAGGGTGCTATGTGTGAATTGTGGCAAATGATTTGTGAACAAGTTTAGCAAGTAGGTGTTTGGCTGAACATGTGTTTGTAGGTCAACCACCTTCCATCAACCATCATCAACCGGATGATGCCTCGTGGATAAAAAGCTATGGCCGCCAAAACATTTACCCACCATCACCTTTGAGGGGTCGCCAGTCAACTACCCTACACTACACAACTCGCTGGATTTCATTTGGCAAAACTCTCGGAGCACGAGCCAATGTCAGGATCACAGTCTGTGTGTGTGTCCTAGAGGCAATTGATCCCTTATAGAGGACCTCACCCACTTGTGTGGACAGGGCGTTTCCACATGCAAAACGGTATTTGTCCTTACTCGTCTTCGACCAACGAACGGCCCCGGGCGTTCCGCGCTGCCGTCAGGAGGCGATGCCCGGGAATCGCGAGGTCGCCGAGCGGTCGCCGAGCGGCGGTGAACCGGTCACAAGCTAAGCCGCTCTTCCAGTGTCGCCGTTCCACAGGTTGCTGATCAGCAAGCCAACCGATGGAGTTTGATTTATGGTGTTCTGTTTGTTCTGTGGGTTCATTCTGGCCAATTTGGCTTCAGGGATTTTGTTGGCTCGCAGGCTGCCCTGGGCCATGGACTTTCCAACAGGATCAGGATCCCGGAACTTCGTCTATAAAATCGGAGCACCTTTCCGGTGCCTGGAAAAGCTTTTTGATACAGGCATGTTGTGACTACATAGCTAAGCTACTGGAGGTCGGGGGTTCCAATTTTATAGAGATGTTGATGTTGGGGGTTCCAATTCTATAGACAGTGATATTTTATATGTTTGAGGTTGAGTGCTTTGATTCTATAGAGGATTATATGTTAGACAGACCAGCAAGATGTCAGTGTCAGGTGTTCCGATTCTATAGAGGCCATTGGCCTCTACCACTCGCCTGAACCTTGGGTGCTCTAATTCTATAGGTCAGACATGTCAAGAATCATCCATCTTGAAACCTGTTGGATCTGAATTCTATAGAGATGTGTCTTTGAATGGACCTTATGATCTCTAATTCTATAGAGAGCCCCCATCAATGGAGGTTGGGTGCGCCATTTTATGTCTATAGAATTGGGGATCATGACCTCCCCACTTAATTCCAAGGGGATCCAACAGGTGACATTTCACTGTCGAGTCGACGTCTACATGAGACTACTAGGATACACTAGGATCAACTAGTTGATATTGTAAATGAGACTACTAGGAGATTCTAATTTATAGTTGATATGTGTCCCGCGGGACCGGTTCCTTCAGCGAAACGAACCGCACGGCCGAACCAGGTCGAACCTTCGCACGAAGCCTGGGACTGATCGGAACAGGAAAACAAGTCGAGCCAAGGATACACACTGAGGGCACTGCCTGATACTCCTTCTAGTCCCAGGTGGTCGACGGAATTGTTGCACCGATGTTCGGTGCAGGTTTCTACACCATTGTTGAGTACTAGTTACTAGTGTTGACCTGATCATCATAGATAGTATAGTATACCACCCCGGACGAAGAAGCAACGGTTCTCTATATATGTCTCTCTCAATATATATATATATATAATTCATTACAATTCTACCTGGCTGGCTCTTGTTCCAGTGGTGGAGTTGCAGTTGTGGGACGCAAATTGACCTTGAACCTGGATGAACTCGAAACATCTCGAAACAAATCAGTTTTCAAAGGTCCATTCGAACTTGTGGCACGTGCGGTGCCTTGGGTGAAAACGGATGGAACTTGTGACATGGATCAACAGGATGAACACGGAAGAACTCTTACCAGGCTTCGTGTTGAGCAGGCTTGAATTCACAAGCCCCTAGTGGCAGCAACAGTCTGAAAGCTCATAATTATTGCAGAAATGCTGCGCGCTGCAAAGGGGGGGCTGAAATGCTGGGGAGATTTTGGTGGACAATATGGGAAAAGACATGATACTGCATTTGTTCTTTGGAAGTTCTTTCCACGTGTAGACCAACTGTGCCGGTTAGCATCCCGAAGCATGTCCTCAAATTGACGGCTGTTGTGCAAAGTTAATTCAAGCAGTGGACCATCTATATACAAGGTTAAACATACACTTGCAGCGGAATCTGGGGGACTGACGAAGTTCTATTGATTTTCGGGAGGCTACCGCCCTAAGATGTCCAATCCCGCCAATAGAATATATAGTCTTGTGGGTAGAGATGTCCTTCTTGATTTGGGATTGGTCTGAAGATGTTCGAACATTGAAATGACTTGACTTAAGTTTTCCAGTACAGGGTGGACCTTCCTGGGTTTCGCTTCGAACCTGACACATATTACTGTACACAACTGCTGCATTATTCTCGTATCAAAAGCTTGGGTCTAAAAATCCCACTTGGAGGGCACCACATTACACGGCAGTACTGATTTCCAGGATTGCATCTTCAATCGCCTGTGTTATATAAGTGTAAATGAACCATTCTGCCTTGATCTCGTCGCTGCCAGGCAGCAAAACCACGTTTTGGGTTCGCTTTACCTTTTTTTCCTTGTTTTCTTCTCCTAGCAGGAATTCCTTTTGTTAGAGTCTGTTGGGGGACATGTCGGGTGTTCTTTTCCGCGTGCTGTTTGTTTGTTTGTTTTGTTTCGTGTGGGTCACTGAACCACTACCACATAGAACCCACAGTCCACTCTGAGGTCCATGAGACATGAACAAGAACCCCCACCATTGCTAAGAAATGATAAGAAATATGTTTATTTACCTGCACCGGGGGGCAAGTTGCTCATGTGTCACCCTCCAACCTGGATTTCGCCAACTCAGGCAAGCCCACCCTCCACGCTGCTCGGAAGAAAAGAAGGAAAAATCGGCAAATCCAACACATGAGTTCGAATTCAACAATCCAACCAACAAGCCAAACGTGAGAAAACCCGCCCACTAAAGATGTGCCTGCCCAAAGCTTCGCATGGTTGGCCATCAGGCACCCCAACAGATGGAGGAGTGGAGTGTCACGCCCAAAGAGGCGCCGAATGAACATCAGACACAACTTGGGCCGACAAGTCGCTGTGCTTCAGCGAAAATAAGAAATGCTTTTAGGATCTTTTAGGCTCAGTGGACATGAATTGGGTTGGCTCAATTGTTGTAATTGTTTATCATATTAAATCATACTGTATAGTTGTAATGTGGCTTTACATGGTTTGATATGGGCATTTTTGTGCTGGGGACGTTTTTCTTCAGTCATTATATACCTTTGGCTAACCAGTGCTAACCACAACCACCGCCACCACCACCAGCACCATCATCAGCATCAGCATCATCATCATCATCATCCTCACCCTCACCCTCACCCTCACCCTCATCCTCATCCTCATCCTCGTCATCCACTGGAGCATGAGAATGCGAATGCTTTTGGAACCCGCCAACCCCCTTCCCGCCCAAAAAAAACTGAGAGCTGGAGAAACTCCAACGAACCTCCACACAGTTGGCAACTAAAGCACTGGGAAGAACTGTTTGGTGCTTAGTGGGGAATGAGGGAACGGATCCTAAGGGATTTGTAGTTGGGGATCATTCCCTCATTCCCTGCTAAGCACCAGTCAGAGAAGCCTATTCGCCTATTAGTATCAAAGGGCATCGCTACTAGGAGCAAGAAGCTACTAGTAACTAGTAGCTCCTGGCATTGCTACTACTAGTAACAAAAGCTATTAGTAAGACTCCAAGGGGAGTGCCAGCTCCACGACCTCACCACCGCCACAGGATGACCTTGAAGCGGGAGCCCAGATGAACGTCGTCGGCTGGCAGGAAGCCGTTCACGAACCCCTGAGCTGGTTCGTACAGCTGAGGGAGATGTTTATGTTTGTACTTTAAAGTATGTTCAGAGTTCAGTTGTGAAGTTCACTTGTTGCATCGATTTTTGGCAATTTGGCGCTTTGGTTGTTTGGTACTGACCTTTGCGCTGGTCCAATGTTGGTTTGGTTTCACGTTCCTCTTTCCAGACAGCATATTGTCATCCACTGTAAGTGGGGGGGCCCATCTTAACCCCACACTACAGATCACAGGTGTAATCCACGGGCTTGACCTAGGTTTGAGGTCAAAACCTGCAACGGCAAAAAATTGTCCTGGTCCAGATTGTGTATAACACACCAGGGGCGCGTGTGGCAAGGCGGGTTTTAAAGGAGCGGCGTTGCGTAAAGGTAGCAAATCTAGGCTTGGAAGGATATGATCCTTTACTGGAAGGGTCCTTTACTGGAAGGGAATGGTGGAAGCAAGCTGGGGTACTTGAAATGGCTTGGCAGTTTTGCGCCTAGAATTCGCTTTGGGTCTGGGTGGTTATGGACGAAACGTCGCAGAAACGCTGGAAGAAGAGAGGAAAACATGTCTCGGCTCTGGTGTTTCCAGGACTGGTCAAAGACACCAGAGGCTCGGTGTTCTGTCGATGGGATCGGGCGTGAAGGACTCGGTGAGGACCCGGTCATCGGCTCCCAAATCGAGACGAGGTCGGATCTGAGAAGACCTGACCGTGGAGTGGTGACCTGTGTGTTGACTCTATGGATACCTGGGGTATCCTAAGGTTTTTGCTGGTCACACTGTGAGGGAAAAGGGCTCTTCAATATTGACGCATTCAGAAGTTCGAAGTCTTTGGCGCGAGCGCTGATGTTTGACGCTGGGACTTGGCAGATGTGAATAACATGTTTGAACTTGGCGTGCCAGAACCGCGCAGACCAGGTGTGGGACCCGACGGCACTGTCGCAATACGTGGCCTCCATCCAGGGCCTTGTGCAGAGCTGTTTCCAGGAGGGAGCTGCAGGCGAGGCCGGAAGAGTTCCAAGGGTGAGTTTCTCACCAGGACCCAGTAAAACAAACACCTTGTATACATGTAAACTCTGGATCAATATGACCTCCCATCATATGAAGAGGCTTTACACTCCAAGGGGGAGGTTATATTAATAGAGAGTCCAGTGACAGTTCATGAAATTCATGCCTTCAGCCGGCCGTCGTGCATCTCTCAGGAGTGAGGCTTATTGGGATCAAACCTTGGGCGGTGGATTTCGAGCTTTGGGACGCTGTGGTTGAATTCGTTTTTCGCCCTGCTACAGCACTGCTACAGGAGCCCTGCGGAAAATGAGAGTCATGTACCCCAGACAGACTGAGTAGGCCTTTTCCAAGGGCAGGGCCCCAGGTGTTTGTTTATGTGGCGGGAGAGGGGCGGAGATGCAATGTCAATACACGTCCAGTTGAACAAGCAATTACAGGCATATAATTACACAATACTACATCGTATAACGTATATCAATATATATATATATACTATGCATATTATATATATACTGTATACATAGTATACATTATATACATCATTGTATACCTAATTTGGGTGCATGCCGCCGACCTTCTGCGACGCGCTGTGGCGCCACCTACAGGTGTTTCACCGTTTCACCAGGTTTTTTTCCAAGAAGAGGTGCCTCAACTCGCCTCACATCGATGTCCAACCGACGCGTGATCGTGACCCGCCGACGCCGAGGAATGGCTGGAGCTCCACGAGCATTTGAGCCCTGGTGAAGTGAAACCGGCCTTCTCCGGCGGAGACGAAAGTCCCATCCAAAATCGCGTCAATGCAGAGGTTGGTTGGGGGCACTGGGCCAACTTCCTTGTTCCAGCCCATGACAAAGTTGCAAGATCTCGCAAGATAACAAATGGAGGTCGACTTTTGACCCTTGGATTCCTTGGGATAGTGTTGACTCGTGACTAGGGAAACGGGAAAGCCTTCCCATTTGAATGGCAAAACCTATTCGTATGATGGGGGATTGAAATATATTTCAAGAGCCTACCTTTGGATTCACCAACACGACCCGACATGACTCTTTTTTGAATACTTGCTTGGCGCCGGATTCTCCAAGGAGGTCCTCTTTGACCACAGAGCTTGGCGATGTGGTTCTTTCTGAGGTCGTCTTTGAATCCTTAGGTGCCTGGCCCGTGCATGAGGCTTTGTTGAATCGTTGGGGGCTTCGAAACCACTCCATAGTTGTGGAC